TGCAGGTTATATGCAAACACTAGGCCATTTTATATAAGAGACTTGAACATCTCTCAAGTTTGGCTGGTAAATCATACAATTATCCTGTAAATGTTTTGCAAAAATTCATTCATCTTTTTATTAATTTCATGTCTGTCATTACCATGTGCCAATAATCACACATGTAATTCTTTTTGAGATAGACTTTTCTGTCTAGATTAATTGATTGATCTTACTAGGTTTCTGTGAGAAAGTTCAGCCCTTATTCACTGTTTCATGAACCATTTTATTTATTTTAGGGATTTACTAGAATCCAACTCAATTTAGACTTAGATCTTTGCACTAAGGCTAAGGCTGAATTGGCCTTTTGGCTCAAAACTTTTTAAATTTTACCTTTTATCAGTTGGAGTTGAGAAGTTGGAGTTGCAGGCCTACTTCCCAGCCCTGCAAGACCCAGAATTTCCAGATTTTTGATAACCCTTTCATTTCTGCTTACAAAGCAGCCAATTCTTTTCTGAGCTCATCTCTTTCTTGTAGAGTCTTGTTAAATTCAGCCAATGAGTGACCAATTCATAATTTCACCATTCTGTTTTCCCAATTTTTGACTAAAGTCCCAAGTTCATTAAGGACATTGTCTGACTTCTGAGTTTATTGTAAACAACAGTTTTATCAAATATTTTGGTACTAAAAATGCCAACCTCTAGTTACAGTTTTCTCAATACTCACTGCCTAGCCCTATAGTCAATGTTACATTTTATTTGTTTGTTACAGCAGCATCCTATTCTGATACCAATTTCTGTATCAGTCAAGTAGGGACACAGAGCAAGAGGAGAGGTATGCTTTGCTTTGTCGTTTCCAGGCCTCCAGGGTCCCTCATAGCTGCTGGTGACTCTGCACAAGTGAGACACTGTCAGAGTTGAGAAAATTGATGATTCTTCCATGTCTTTTCCTGCAGCTATAAAAAGAGGCAGTGCCAAGGTATATTTGCATAGCAGCCTTTCCAGGCTGGCTTTTATTCAAGTGGTTCTGAAACTGAGTTTGAACCTGGATATTCTTAAACAGTTTTATCACCAGTTTTCTCATGTATCAGAAAGTAGTTCTCCTATAGTCTATCTCTTGATTCTGGTATAATACCTACCTTTGACATGTTTCTGATACTGAATTTGGTCTTGAGAACCACATTAATAAGTCCAAGTTCCTGAATTTACTATATGGAAGGAGTATTATAAATAGAGAAACAAATGCACAGTTAAATTATTCACTCTATGTGCTTATAGTTACTAGTCTTTAAGATGTAAAATGACAGAAAATATTTTTCATGATCTTTTAATATCACACTATGTGGCAAGTTTAATGCCTTTTATATATACATTTTCCCAATTACCAACAAGTCATATGTGTATATGTATCTACATGTAACCTAAATATTTCTGTTCACATATGAAACATTTATAGTCATATGCATGTATATTGTGACTACTTCTATATGACATGAAACATATAGATAAGAAATTCTAAAGTCAGTCAAATATCCGAACAGTTTATTCAAACTAGGTATGTCATTGTCTGAAAGCTTAGCATTAGAATCTATTTTTATATGGATGTTTTATATAGACTTGGCCATGCTTTATTTCTCATAAAGAGTTCAAATAACTAAAAGCAAGCTCCTACCGACTAATTAAATATTTATTACTTTTTATGACATATGGAAATATCTTTTATAGCTCTAACAAGCTGGGTCATAGACTAAACCTTAGGCTTCTTCTTCCTTATGGTGGCAAATCAATACTTACATTATAAAGCTGGAGAGTTAGAATTAATGTGTTTCCATTATAAGTTGTTGATTTTCCAGGAACTGCCATGATTTACATGGAAGATCAGTTAATATCCGACATCTAGAAATTCTGTAGTAACTTTTCATTCAACTTCTGAATTTCTTTCTCTTTAAGTGTATGTAAATAATAACTAGTAATAAAAGTTTCAATTTTGCAACTATTTATCGAACTCAGGGCAAAGCACACCACTTGAGATTGGGGATATATAAATGAACAAAATGAATCCTTGCCGTGAAGGAACTCTTAATTTAGCCGATGATTCAAGATGTGCCTAAATTGCAAGTCAATGCAGTAAGAAATTTAAATAAATTCTTAAGGTGAACCTACAGGAAGGAGGAATCCACTGTGACTTGGGGCATTAGCAAAGGCTTCATAAAGGGAACAGAAGTTGTTTGTGCTGCTCCTTGAAAAGGGTAAACAGATAGACATCCCTGCATGCCTGGGATAGTCCCAGTTTACACTGTTATCCAGGCATAATTTTTAATACTGCACTTTTACTCTTGAAGGTTCTCTTTGGACAGTAAAGTACATGATCACTCTAGTATTAAAGCACACATAGGATGTTGACAGGGAGAAGTAGGGAAAAGAATTTCAGGTGGAACCAAACAGTAAATACAGAAAGCATGAAAAAATAGACCCCCTGGTATATCTGGTGGGAAATTACACAGTCTTTCTCTTGTAGAAATAAAAGAGGCCATTTTCTTCCTTTTCTATTGATGATTGAGTTGAAGTGGGAGTATGTTCTACAAGAACTGGCATGAGCCTTCTATTTGCATATTTTTATTTTTCTTTCTAGGAATATGACTACTGTGCAGCACAGACCTTTTCCTATATTTATACCTCATTTTCCATGTTCATTTGATCAGACAGTTTCCTTTCTGGCAATGTACTATTTTCACATCATAGGGAAAGAGAGGAAAATTAAAAACCAATTCTTACATTTTATTTTCTGCCTTCTAACCAGTTACATAGATTTGGAACATATAAAGTGCTTGAATTTTGCCCTTGTACTTTCCAAGAAACAAATGTTTAAAGAGAATAACCAAAATCAGAAAGATATTATTTCTGTTTTAGTAACTATTGAGGGGGAAAGGAAGGAAAATGCTGAAATAATAAAACCTTAACTAACTTGCTACTATGGGTTTAACATATCCCCCAAAAGTTCATGTATTGGAAACTTGACCCTCATTATAACAGTGTTAAGAGGGTGGGAAATTATGGTATTTGAAAGGTGAGGCCTTTAAGAGGTGATTAGTTTGTGAGGACTGTGCCCTCATGAATGGATTGGTCTATTCATGGAGTAATGGGTGTGGTTCTGATGGCTTTAAAAGGAGAGCAACTGAGCAGGTTAGTCTCTTGCTCAGCCCATTCTCACCATGTGACATGTTGGTTGCCACGGGACCCTGTAGAGAGTTCCCACCTAGAAGGCCCTCATCAGATGTGTTCCCTGGACCTTGGACTTCCCAGCTTCCAAAACTGTAAAAGAAATTTCATTTCTTTATAAATTACCCAGTTTTAGGTATTCTATTATAAACAATGGAAATGGACTAATACACTTGCATTGTTTTCAAAGAACAGATTAACATTAATTCTTTCTTTTGTGGTAAAGATCATTTCTGATAGAAATATTTTCCTTAGGCATTTTTTAACAGAAATATTCTAAATTTAGAACAAAGAAACAATGACTAGCATTATGAATATATATATATATATATATATGAAAAGTAATACAGCCATCAACTAAGCAATTCCAACTATAACTGAAAAGACTCCTTATCATGAGAAAGCACAGTACACATGGCTTTCATGTTAATCCCCAAATACTTTTGTCTTAGCCCTTTAGCGTTGTTCAAAGAGCTATAGCCACTGATTCTGTAAGAGCCAAGGGTATATAGAATATGGAATACACAATGGTGTGAACAGATGGGAAAGGGCAATCCCTGTGCCTCATTTAAGGAAAGAGGTGTTCTGGGATAAGGTGGGGAACTCAGCTCCCTCCTCTGCCATAAGAGCCAAGGGTATATGGAATATGGAATACACAATGTTGTGAACAGATGGGAAAGGGCAATCCCTCTGCCTCATTTAAGGAAAGAGGTGTTCTGGGATAAGGTGGGGAACTCAGCTCCCTCCTCTGCCTCTTGCCATACCTGCTTCTTTTTCTGAAGATGCTTTTGAGAGCCACCACTTTCAGATAGGAATTTACATCCATCCTGCAGCAAACAAACTCCTTTCTTTCCCAGCCCAGTTTACTATCTAGGTTTCCTACGACATGAACCTGGGATCCTCTTCTACAGCTTTTCTCATGAGCAAGTGACACGAAGTTTACAGGTCTTCAAAGAGGGCTTTTAAAGCTTTTGAAATTAGCCAAAATGTCAACAGACTTAGACGGAACATTGATATTTGACATAGTTATGTGATTACTCTAATTTTTCTTACTTTGCATGAGTATAACAAAGCAATAACCCATTTGAAGATGTTATTTTGGTGAAATAAACAATAGTCTTTCCTTACAGTGACTCTCACACTAGTCTAACTGGTCTAACTGCCTCTAGTCTCTTCCCACTTCAGTCCATTTCTGGACTGCTACCAAATGATCCTTCTAACATATGACATGATCACGCCCTGGTTTAAAGATTTTTGGTAGGTCCCAGTACTACAGGATAAAGCCATATAGTTAACCCGAAGCATAGCATGCAAGCCTGTGCAGTTACCTTTCCAGCTGTTACTCTTTCTCTTTCATACTTAATGCCTGTGCAGAATTTCGGCCTGGTGAGTGTGAACTCTCTACCAAGTCTTCCCTGACTCTTTGATTTAGTTATGCTCCTCTGTGGATTATCATACCAGTAACTGGATACTCTTATGGGCCTGAGTGTACTTGGAGGTCTTGTTTATCTTCATATCATTATTGTTTAGTAGATTGCCTGGTATGTGTATTGAATAAACGAAAAAGATAGCTAGTTTAGTTTCCATTTGGGCAGAGCTTCCTCAATTCAAAACCACTGGTCCTAATAAGTTTTATTGGCTTCAAACGATCACCTGTATACTTGATGCCACATTTGGCTAACCATACAACATGAGGATGTATGTGTTTAAGGGTACCAAAATCAAAGATCTATATGGAATTCCTTTGAAAATTGGCTAGACAAAATAAGTTCAATTTTTGATAAACACACAAAACACCACAAATCAGTTTCATATAAATATGTTTTATTGCAGAGAAGTTATAATTATTTACATGCTGCAACACGTCACAACATAAATTTACCAAATATTTCATGATGGGATGCTGTAGGTTTCAGATAATAGCTTCAGAAGAACCACAGATTAAGTGAAGAGACTTAACAGCTTTATTGACTCTACAACTCTCAGTTGCTAAATGCTAGAAGTCAAAAGGCAGTGTTTTTTTCAGTCCTACCTGTCATCACTCGCATGCAGAAACCTAGGAAGCAAATACAAGAGAACTGTCGAGTTTCAAATCCATATTGCCACCAAAGTTTACGACGGGTTGAGTTATAATTCATGTGGTAAAGCATTTAATTCTTGCATAAAATATACAGTTCTATTAAGATTGGTATAAATCTACTTATTTATAAACTCTGGCTTAAAAACAAGGATAGGATGCAGCCTGCACATGCACTGAGAAGGACAACCTAGCAAATGTTTGTGACCTTAATAGTGTTTCTTCACTTTCCTATTGTTATTGATTTGGGAAAATAACCTCAAGGATTGTAGATTTAAACTTCTCTTGGTGGTAACTAATGGCAATGAAACTCTAGGAAAGACCCTAGGCATTCTTACTGATTTATGCTGGTGGAGAATAATCTACGGACTCCAGAATGTCATTAAGATATAATTTGGCAAGTCTTCTTTAAGCCACGTCTCTAGCAGGATCATCCTCAAGTGCAATAGAAAGTCAATGACACTTGACCACTATTTCTCAAAAAGTGCTAACAGATCTCAGACATAAATGAACAAGCATGTGGGTCTAGAGACACCAAGCCAAATTCAACCTTAAAGTAGGTCACCAAGTAGATAGGCCTTGACTATAGGAAGGGATAAAAGAAAAANCAACCTTAAAGTAGGTCACCAAGTAGATAGGCCTTGACTATAGGAAGGGATAAAAGAAAAAAAAATGAAGGAAACACACAAAAATAGAATTTCTGTCTCTCCAAACCTACCCCACCAACCTGAGTAATTCAACCTTAAAGTAGGTCACCAAGTAGATAGGCCTTGACTATAGGAAGGGATAAAAGAAAAATAAAATGAAGGAAACACACAAAAATAGAATTTCTGTCTCTCCAAACCTACCCCACCAACCTGAGTAATGCATAAAATAAGCCAATGGGTGAGGGAGATTTGTGTGCAGTTTTGCAAAGTGCTCGCTTACTCCTGAATAAAAAAATCACTGAGAAAACTGTGATGATAAATACAGAGAATTCTGTTTTTACCTTCCACTGAGAATAATATTCTCTAAGAACAGCCCGTTATCCACCTTCTGATTCCCTTTTCTCATCTTTTATCCTCCTAGCATGTTCTCTTTGCTGCTCATGAAATGAAAAATTTATTTAGGCTGGAAATGCCCTGGCAAAACAAGCAGTTGATACTTCAGTGTTTAGCGTGAAAGACAGGAAAGGCTGGCTTCTATTTTTAAGTGATTCATCTTTAAATAAAGTGAGACTGAGCTTTGGAATCTCACTGCATTGATCACATCAGTAGGGCTAAATCAGCAGCTTAGGATTTTCATGCCAAGAGATCAGTGTGGAATGCAAGAAGTTTTATAAAATATGCGTTAGGGGCTGTTTTGCCTTGCAAATAAATCTTATACTTTATATTTTGAGCTAGGTGGCTTGCACTGGCAATTTTTGTGTAAGTTTTCAAGTGCTTGGGAGAATGAAAAGCCCACAGCACCTTATAGGCTTTGAATAAATCAGGTTATAAAACCTCTTTGGGATCTGAGCCCAGCAAGTTCTACCACTAGCTGAAGCAATGAATAAGAATTTATGAGGATAAATAGGTTAAGGTAATTTAAAATATTATATTTTCAGTATGCATAATAAAAATATATCCATACAATGATCTTGATGCTATTGCAATTTTTCTTTTTATAAAAATAATCCCTTGAAAGTGCTATCAGGAGCTACCTTTCTGTCTTTGCTGTGAAAGGCAACTTTCCTGATTCTGTAGTACTGCTATAAATCTCACATCATTCCTAGAGTCTTCCCTTTCCAATGGTAACAATAATGCACAGTATATTTTTCTCACTCTTAGCTTCTTCCTTAGGAAACGCTGCTAAGTATGAAATACTGAAAGAGTTAAAAGGGACAATTAATTGGAATGAAGGTGTTATCTAACTCTAACTTTGAACAAACAATGGATAAGTTGTCCTTATTGAGACATATGACTAAGTAGGACCACTTGATCTCCAATATTAATAAAGCTTCTGAGTCCTAAAAAGAAGTGCAAAACAAGTAACTCAACTTGTATAAAAACCCCTGATTGAGACAGTATAACAAACTACGATGTGAAACAATAGAGTCAAATCCAAATTCACAATATATAAACCACAGCCAAAACTAAAATTTTTATCATAACAGTTATGGCTTCCCAAGCCAGAAAAAGCTTACTGTACTTCAAGAATCAACTAAAGTTGATAGACAGCAGGTATTCTGTAAGTTGCAATACTAATTGAGTAGCTGCAGATTGCATAAATGTGTTGTGTCACACAATTTCAAAGTTATTTGCAAAAGTTATACAACCTGGAATGCTTGGATATGAGACACAACAACATACTGAAACATACATTTATAAGAAAATGAGAGCAATCATTAATATAAAAGGTATTTTGGGGATGCATTAAGTTAGCAGTGCTATCAAGGTTAAATAGGTAAAGTTACTGTCAGTCAGCTGCTTAGAATTTGACATATATATCCATACCTTTTCTTCTTAGCAAAATCTAATACGCCTTCTGTGTCTCCTGATTTGCCTTGCTTAGGATCTTCAAAGTCCTACAGGTAAATATTGATCAGGGGAAGACATTGAGGGCATAAACATGCTAAGATGTAAAGATTTTCTTGGGGTTATCAGGGGAATGACTTTCCTTGGCCAAAGTGACTTCTCCATAATGATGCTGTTGTTCCCGCCTTCCTAGTCTTTTTCCATCCATGCCTTTGACCTTACCTCACTATCCATCATATTTCCCTTGATGGACAAATACTCTTTGGGGATTTTTGATTCTTATATATTCTGTCATATTGAATTTAGGCTTTCCACCTTCTTTCCTTCTTGAGGATGCTACACTTTAAAAGTATCCCAGACCTCTTATTTTCGAGGCCCTCCTATCTTATTTGCACTGAAAGCAGAAGAGGAAGGTAAAGCTACACTTCTTTCAGCATTTGGTTGATCTGGGGTCTCAAACTCCCAAGGACACACCTCAGCTCGTGATGTTAGTGGTTGCTGGAAGTTATTACTTGAGTTATAGGAGCCAGGTACATTTTCCTCAGAGAAAGATGCCTTTTTTTCCTGGTCTCCTATTTGGTTGAGATTTTCATTCTCTGCTTTTGATGCTACAACTTTGGGGGGCAGTTCTTCATATTGCCCGGCACACACATTGGCTGCAGGACGCTGACTTCTATTCTCTTCTTTAGCTCTCCCTGGGAGAATTGGAGTCTTGGAAATCAAATGCTTCTCATCTTCAAAAACAGACTGTCCTTGGCTCTCCCAAGGGCATACTTCAGCCTTATTTATGCTCTTCTGATTGGATTGCTGACATACTTCAGCTGCCTTAGGCTTGTAGTGAGGTTTCTCCTTTAAGGAAAAAGTTGGGTTTTTCTCCATTTCAGAAGCAGCAATAGATACATGTTTTTGAACCTTTGATTCTGAAGGCACAGGATCAGGGGTCAGGTCATAAATTTCCCAAGGGCACACTTCCCCAATGTCAAAGTTATCCTTCATCTGGGTGGTGCTGGGGCTCAGGTCAGAATTGGCAGTGGGGGGGTTGACCCTTTGTTGCTTCATAATCCCAGGTTTCTGAGGCTTTCTTGGCTCCTCCAAATGATTGGAGTTTTGGGGGGCAGAATCTGTAGTCTCTGTGTTATCTGAATTTGAGTATTTTCTGTTTGCCTCTTTGTCTTTTGGTAGAGGTTTCTGGGATTTAGCACGTTCCTCTGTGCCTGATGTTTGGGTTTTCCCAGCTAATCCAAGTGTCTTCTCCTTGGCACTTGCTATGACACTGAGAGACTTTTGTAACATAGATGTTCGTGGGTGCCCAGGCTTCTTCTCTGAGCTGAGGTTGTGAGCGCTCGCTGACTTACACACCAAAGGCACTGACTCCGTGGACTCAGGCTCGCTGTCTTCTTTGAGTTTTTGTGTTAGTTTTTTACCCGACAGAGATTCCAGTGTGGAATTTTCTGTAGCCTCCTCTTCCTGGCTTTCCATTGGTAGGCTCCTGGACTGTTCCATTTGGTCTCTCACATGGTCATAAGTGCTGTGGGATTTCTTGAGTGAGAAGACTCGGTTTTTCAGGGATTCCTCCTTGGGTCTCCCGGTGTTGCCTGAAGACTCCGGTGTGTTCTTCCTGACGAGGGCCGTGCCTCTGGCCGTGCCATGGTCTGCCATGTCCTTGTCCTCTTTGGAACACTGCCTGCTGACCGTCTCCGGGATTTCGGTAATGCGCCTCATGATGGAACGGCCCAAGCCTTTCTTTGAGCACCGCTTTTTCTGGAGGTGGGGATTATTTGTGATCATCTTCTTCCTTTTATATATTTCCAACTGGGCATAGAGTTTCTTTAGCTCATCCTGCCAGAACAAGAGCAAATTCAAAGAGGTATAGAATTTAGTGCTAGATAATATCACTAAATAGTGTTTGAATTCAGTAGGCTTGAGTCCTTTTGGGCAATTGCTCTACAGCTTTTCCTGACCTCTGTACTCATTAATTTTCTCCTCATTTCGACTTTCTGATTATTGTGTGTTTTGTTTCACTTGCAATTTGAACTTCGAGAGATGAGCTCATGCATGCCACCCTCGCTTCCTGGAGCAAGCACTTTGAACTTTCAAGTTGTGTGGACTAGACTGAGCCTGGACCATAACAAAACATAGCATATTGTCTACTGATGAACCATATCCCTGAATAGTATTGGAAGGACCATGTGGCACTGATAAAGTTATGTCTGATGTTAGATTAGGTTTAGGGGACAATAGTCCATTGACTGCTAAAAGCACCAGATGCTGATAGGTTGCCATAGATTATTTTAAATAATCCAGGTTCTCTGCTCACGGATCTATCCTAACTTTCCATCAGCAAGATGTCATAAACATGCATTATGGAACATGTATAATCAGTTCATCATTATGGCTGCCAATAAACCAGTTAAGACTATCAAGGTTGGCCAGGCTTTATGAGTTGAAATAGTCTGTGCTTTCTAATTTATGCATGATTATACTTGTTAGAACTGAGTTAACTCTGGGTTAATTTAATGTGTTCAGTTCATATTCAGACATACATTCTCTCTCACGCATGTGAGCACTCATGTGCATACACATACACACGCATACACACACACACACACACACACCCCAACCCATACATGCTTGCCTGTATAAATGGGTCTAATCCGAAATAGAAAAGAAAATACTGGCATTACCCGGATGTCCTCTGGATCCAAGCTGTGCTCACTCCAGGCTGAATTAATACTGCTGTTCAGGTAGGATCCAGATCTACCCATGTCTAGCTCATCTTCATATGCTTCTGTAGCAATATCATCTCGTGGGTTATTGCTTGAATGTGAAAACTGCAAGAGATATTCAATATGAGCTGTAAACATTAGCCCACTGTAAGACATAGTGCAATAATTTTCTAAAGGTTCTAATGTTAATATCATTTCTTCAATGTGATGAATTCATTCACTAAACTCTTCACTAAACTCTTTCCAAAGAGTTGCTGCTATACTTGTGTTTTGCTTTCCATATTACTTGCTGGAGCTCCTCGTGAGGCAATATAGCACTTGGTCCTCTCTTTGACTCCAATTTTTACCCTCATCTCTTCTCTGGGCTCTCAATGTTAACTTTCATCACTCATCTTCTGTGATGTATTTGCATTTTGAAAATGAAAATAAGTAGAATTTGAAGGTACGTTCTCTAAGAGGATCAGTTTAGGCCCATTGGCAGTTGGATGAAAAAATTTTTGAGCAGTGTGGTCTCAAAATTTTGTTTGTAATTTTGCTTCACATGGGTGAGGATATATTTCACCTATGGACACAACTGGCTCTAGTGACAGCAATGTGACTTTCAGTGTACTATCAAAACTCAATGCACAGGAGCTCTGAATTCCAGTCTCAACTCTGTCATCAGTGAGATCTTAAACATGACATGGAACTTCTCTGGAGCACAGTGCCCTTTCAGCCTAAAGAGCTCTGGGCTACACGGTATCTAAGTTTAAATTGAAAGATTCACCACAATTACAGATTTTTCCTCAAGCTCATCATTTTTTTCAAGTTCCTCCTTCATCACATTTTGCTATATTTTGATTACTTTCATGTGGTCTTTTAATATTTTTCAGTTTCATGTATTCTTTCTATCTCTATCCTTCTTTAAGTGGAGAAGTCAGAAAGAGTGAATTGGGTAAATGACAGAAAGTAGGAAGGAGAATCAAAACAATTGAGCCACACTTTACACACTATGTAAACCAAGTGGTTGTCCTATGAAAATTGAGAGAACAGCTTAGAGGACATGCATTCTCTTCTCCTTGATTGTCATTAGGTCAAATATTCCTTTGAAAAATTAATAGATCACTCTTTGGTCATACAGAGATATTTTAATGTCTCCTTTTATTAAAATGCTCAGTTAGCCAGGTGAACATGTATATGAGATAACATATGAAACTGCAATTCTCTATTTCAGTAACAATAAATGTTTTGTAATTGGGACCGATTGAGAAACCCACAGAAACTATGAACCTTTCCTTCGCTCTTCGACCTATGTTTGTGAGACACAAAAGTACCATGAACTTAAGGCCACAAATTGTAAATATGGTAGACTCCCTGCCCTCCAAAATCTTTCACGATACTAGTTAAACCACCTGGAGGTTATTTATAAGAATGAAATTCTTTGTCTTGAGCAGTCTTGGAGACAATCATGATTTTAAGAAACAGAGTCATTTGTCAGATATTGTTCATTTCCTACTTTATTATTTCTCCCTAGCACTTATCTCTATCTAAGCTACTCTTTTAAATATTCATCTTGTTTACTTATCTTGTCTGTTTCCCCCTTCCTGTCTTCAGAATATAAGTACCATGAGCGCGCAGATTTTTATCTGTTCTTTATTCTTATTCTAAGGATAGAGAACAGTGCCTAGTAAAGCTCCTCAAAAATATTGTTAAATATCTTTTTATTGAGATATAATTCACATACTATAAAATTTACAATTTTAAAGTGTACAATTCAGTGTTTGTTAGTATATTCTTGAGGTAGTGCAGACATCACCATTATTTAATTCCAGAATATTTTCATCACCCCCAAAAGAATTCTTGATCCCATTAAGCAGTCACTTCTATTTTTCATTCTCCCCACCCGTGGCTCCTGCCAATCCACTTTCTGTATCTATAGATTTGCTAATCTGGACATCTCATATAAATGAAATCTTTTTCATCTGACATAATGATTTTAAGGTATGTCTATGCTGTAGCATGTATCAGTACTTCATTCCTTTTTATTGACAAATAATATTCCATTGTACAAATATATCACATTTTGTTTATACATTTATAAGTTGATGAACAAACATTTGGGTTGTTTCTACTTTTTAGGTGTTACAATTAATGCTGCTATGAACATTTATGTACACGGTTTTTGTATGAACATATGTTTCAACTCTCTTTGGAACTCAATAACAATTTACTGAATGAATACATAGTCTAAGTATACATCCAGCTAATAAATGTGTAATCATATTATGCAAAGCATTATAGTAGTTAAGATAAACTGCAGTAAAAGACTAGTCTATGAAAATTGTGGCTAGTTGATGTAATTCAAGTAGGGAACAAAATAAGTATTTTTCTCCATTTATAACCATTTGGCTTTTTCAATCAGGCTGAATCTCAATGTTTTGGTTAACTGTGAGAGTTGTGATAAGGCCTGGAGTAAAAGACAACAAATCACAATTCTGGTTTTAGCTTTGCTATCATTATATTGTGTGGCACTGACACAGATGGTCCGCGACTTAAGGATGGCTCAGCTTACAATTTTTTGACTTTACAGATGGTGTATGGCATACCTCCCATACAACCGTTCTGTTTTTCACTTTCAGTACAGTATATAATAAATTACATGAGATAGTCAACACTTTACCATAAAATATGCTTCATGTTAGATGGGTTTGCCCAACTGTAGGCTAATGTAAATGTTCTGAGGATGTTTAAGGCAGGCTAGGCTAAGCTATGACATTCCATAAGTTAGGTGTATTAAATGTACTTTCAATGTATGACAGTTTCAATATGATGGGTTTATCTGGACATAACCTCATTGTAAGTCAAGAAGCATCTGTTTAGTGTTCTAATATCATGTTTCTTTCTATGTAAAAGAGGAAAATAATGATAATGTTATAATTTGCACAATGTGTTTTTTTCCACAAAACTCTGATATTTTATTTTATTCCAAGCAGTCTTACTGCTACAATGTCATAGACAAGGAAAATTAAACCCAGAGATCAAAGTTTTGGTTAAAGTTAAGTTACACAACTAGTTTGTGGCAGAGCATGAGTTCAGAATCCTTGTATTCTGAGTCCTGGCCCAGATTTTCCCCACTTCATTATGCTGCCTGTTTAAGTCTGTGTTAGAATGTGTCATTATTGAGATTCTTCTATACATAGTAGAATTATTTATTTATGTTTACATAAAAATTCTCTGAATGTTTTAAACATAAGAATTTTGCAATGTAAATCCAAACCAGGAGTATCAGAATAGGATGGTTCTTTCAAAAAATGATCTTGATATTAGAGCTGCAAAGAAAGCCACCTTGAACCCATGATAATTAAAACATAAATAGACATCAAAATGTCTAGAAAAGGACTGAAACAAATGCTGGGTTTTTAAACATAAATTATTAAAAAATTATTTAATATGTTTCAGATACTCCCTAAGGAGGGAGCCTTAAAATCTTGTAGTGCCAAGCAGATTTCCACACCTCCTTTTGTCTATGTCGCCAAATATTTTAAAAGGAGAAATGACTCCATGCTCATTTAAAATAATTGTTTTGGAAGAAAAAAAGTAATGTTAGAAGAATACCTTTGGAATTAAAAGCAACCCGATGGTGACTGTCACAGTCAAATGAGTATGTGCAAAATACAGCATCAACATCCAATCAGACTGAAGTCTTGAGGCAAGAACAAACCTGAAATGAGAATTCAATGAGTCAACAATCCATGATTAAGATTTCTACTTAAAACACTAGGATACCTGGAAACTCTTTTCCTCAGAGTATTTGAAAAAAGAAATCATATTGCTGTATCTATGACATATATTTTCATAAAAGAAAAATAAAGGTCTAAATAACCTTAACTGGATACATATGAGCATTTTATTATTTATTTTTTTGGACTATCAGTAGCAAGAAAGATAGCATAATAATTTCTAAGACTATAATTTTGAGAAGAGCAGGTTACAAACTGGTGGTTTTGGGCAAATTTGAGTTATAGGACACATCCAAATAACTCTTGATTCTAATATTCTTTATTTAAGAACATTAATTAGAAATAAGAGAAAAAGTGGGTAATTATCTGTCTTGGTGAATAATCCCAGAGGTTTAAATGGTAAATGATGTAATGGATATAACGAATATACTAATGGTTTGTAAAATGCACCTTTAAAATAAAAATTGTTCTTAATTATTAAAGCGTCTTAAATAATTTAAAATGTAGTATTTAAAATCTTATTTTACTGAGGAATTTATAAAATTGAGTTCCAGAATGGCCTTGCAGGAAACATGATGTGGAGAAATCCAGTACTGAGGTCTACTCTAGTAATTTTGGAATATTTTTGTTAATCAGTAGGTCCATGTACAAACCAAAGCTCTTGTTTTAAGAACTCATCCTCATACAGATATCAGAAGTTGCTTTTATATAGGTCTTTTTGCAGTTATATCCTTCTTTTAGTTTTTTTCCCATCCATTGTTTATCCATGAAAGCTAAATATGAGATTTTACTGCTTTTGGAACTAGAGAATCAGAATTTTGTTTCAATGATATTTTTGTTTCAATGATGACTTGTTTCATCAAATTTGAAAAGTTAACATCCTAAGAAAATGCTTATAATATCATAGTCACTAAACAAACATATATGAATGGCTAAAAAGGGAAGAAACTATTTTTTAAATCTGTATTATACTGCATTCATGACAAATTTACTACATAAATTAATATATTAATATTTAAAACAAAATTGCCATCGAGGGGATTTTTTTCTTATTTTTACCTCCACCCTTCTCCTCCAAATACCTCAAGCTAGAATGCAAGCTCAAGAGTTATCCAAAATGGAGAGTATTTTCCCCTGTGTTTGGAGACGTAAACAAAACAGACTTGTAACATACCTAGGCGTGCAGAACACTTATGGGCTAGAATGCAAGCTCAAGAGTTATCCAAAATGGAGAGTATTTTCCCCTGTGTTTGGAGACGGAAACAAAACAGACTTGTAACATACCTAGGCGTGCAGAACACTTATGATAGTTCACATATCATTAAAAAGGATTTTCTGGATTACCATCTTCTCTAACTCCTTTGTGAGNATTAATATATTAATATTTAAAACAAAATTGCCATCGAGGGGATTTTTTCTTATTTTTACCTCCACCCTTCTCCTCCAAATACCTCAAGCTAGAATGCAAGCTCAAGAGTTATCCAAAATGGAGAGTATTTTCCCCTGTGTTTGGAGACGTAAACAAAACAGACTTGTAACATACCTAGGCGTGCAGAACACTTATGGTAGTTCACATATCATTAAAAAGGATTTTCTGGATTACCATCTTCTCTAACTCCTTTGTGAGAAAAGAGGCCTCACACATGCCTTGAATATAACTGAATATTTACTTTGCTCAGGGATGAGATACTTTTGACATAGTCTGTTTTCCTGGGTCAGGTGAGATTTGTTTTTTAAGCATCGTAATAGAATCACTATTACCATTGTAATAGAATTTGCACTGTGACACTCCCAAAAGGAAGTTATAAAATGCAACATGTCACAAACACACACATGCACATACTCAGTTATAAGCTACAGCCTGTGAAGCATATAAGCAATATATAATGTACACTGAAAAATAATACAATCTCAATCTGTTGAGGGTCATTGCCAGTATTGGAGTGGAAAGTTACATCAAAGGAGATGGATTTACAGTCTAAAAGCATCCTCATGTACTGGGAATTCCTATCTTAAATGCCAACATGCATGAACTTTAAGGCAGCATGACAATATCTAGAAAGAAGAATGGCTGCATATATTTCAAATTAAATTAGTGAATCTTCCAAATAAGTAACTTTGAAATACACTGACATCAATAACCTTCAAATTGATCGGCTTTAAATTACTGCCAGGTCTTTTAGGTTACAGTTCTGACTTAGAAATATCTTGAGAAATACTGGGTTTTGCAACAGTTTAAAAGCTTCATTTTCTGGTCCCAACCTCTTTCCCTCCCTAAAAGCTTCATGTTTTAAGAGTATGTCAACTTTTTAAAAATAGGTCAAAAAGCCAGGAGCATAAAAGTATTTGAAACTTAAGGTTAAATATGAAGCAAACTTTTTAAAGTCTTGCACTTTCCGAAGGTTTGTTTTATGCTTAGCACTAAAAATAAGGAAAAGATTAGAACAGGCTGAGAAAAATGCCTTCTGCATTTTTTACCCTTCTAGACTTAATCCTTTGATATTAGTTATTTTTGTGCAACCTGATGTTTTGGTTAGAATGAAGGTAAATCCATATACAACACATAGTCATAGTTATATATATATGTTTATATACGTGCATATATACATAAACACATATAATTTTATAGTTTAAGTAGACAATAAGGAACACATATTCCAAATTGCTAGAAAATATTTTTTCTGATGTTGGCAGCCTTATTTAATATCTCATTCGAGGGAAAAATTACCAAGTTGAATCCAGCTGATTTAAATTATCATATAATTTTATAGTTTAAGTAGACAATAAGGAACACATATTCCAAATTGCTAGAAAATATCTTTTCTGATGTTGGCAGCCTTATTTAATATCTCATTCGAGGGAAAAATTACCAAGTTGAATCCAGCTGATTTAAATTATGTTATTGCTTCTTATTACTGGACTTTATAAATATTGGAACCATAGCATGTATGAATTTAGTTCATGAGTAAATAAGACATTGTGCATACTTGATTTCTTTAAGTATTATTGCCTATTACTTGCTCCCTACCTATCACCCCAAAATCACCATTCTGCAGATTTACTGTGTTAAGCTATAGTTCCATTCCTTGGTACTCTATGGCCATACAAGTTTAATTTCCAAGAGAAAGTAGCTAGTAAATTTTATACTTCTTTAAAGCCAATATACCACAATTTGATCCAATCTGATCTAGGTAGAAAAATAGGCCAAACCTGGAACTTAAAATGTATGGCTTCTTATTCAGGTTTATTTAGGCTTGCTTAGCAAACATCAATGTCTACCAAAGCTCGCTACTCTCCCTGCATCGCTTTGCTACCACTGGAATTCCTCCCTGTGCAAAATGGATAGGCTCCACACAGTTGTATGGAAGAAAATTGATCCTGTGAGTTAATTAATCAGAGCGTGTGTCTACTTGAACTCAGTTCCTATTCATATAATTCTCCTTGCTGGAGTGATGGGTTCTTTGGGTCTCTGTATGAAAGACTTAAAGCAAAGTAGGAAAGCTGTTTTCAATCAGTGTTTAAAATATATCTCCCATCACCTTGTCTCAGTACTAAGGGATGGCTGCTATCAGATGTCAATTGACGGTTGGGGGGATTCCATGGTCAAATAAGTTTGGAAAATGCTGGTTAAACATAGTTAAGTAGGTCTCCTTACAGGAAGATTTTGAGCATGCTAATTTGCACTGTGACACTACCAAAAGGAAGTTATAAAATGTGATGTATCAGAAACATACACACACATAAAAACATCTGTAAGTGATACACTAATATATTAGTGGTTATCTTTGGGTGGTTTGATTAGAAAGTTAATATTTTTCTTTATTATTTTATGATTTTTCTAAAGAGTTGGAACTGCTTTGAACAGATTTAGTTACTTGGGCGATTAATTTGCATCAAAGAGGTCTAGCAGCTTATCGTAGGGCAAAAGTAGGGAACCCTTTGCATCATGGAGTCACATTCTGACAGTAGAAAACATTTAAACTCGTCTGTAACAGTCTTCTCACAAGTTTGTAACTCTAGTTGGTTTGTTAATATAAAATGTAACTTGTAACTGGTAGTAGAGAACATATTTGTTAGATCTTGAAACATAAATGCTTGATTTTCTGGAAACAAACAACAAAAAAGGTAGCTCTTCTTGGAAGATAGTCTGGGAGAAATGTAAAGGCTGCCGGAGCTCTGGTACTGTGACAGTGTCCTCTGGTGCTCACTACATTTTGCACCGAGGGCATCCTTCTCTCAGATCCTGGAACTTTAGTTGAGTAGAATTAAAAAAGCATTCCTCCCGTTGCTTATTTGTAATCTCATATTTCCATTCTCATCTTTCCTCCCTCTTCTAATCTCTTTTTCTCTTTTCTCTTTCTTCTCTTGAGGGAGAAGAAGACAAAGCTAAGAGGCTAGTTCCCTTGATTCCTGGCCCCTTGATGGAGCATCCGAGGCTCCAGACCATAGATACTGCCTTTTCTTACTTAAAAGTTTGAAAAGTGTAGGCTGTACCTAAGGCCCAACTGCTGTCTGGCATCATCTATTCCTAAAGTTACAAGATAGCATTTTCTGACTTCTAACTAAAGTGAGAGATGATAAACATCCTGCAAAACTTCCACAGGTTCACAGTTTCCCACAACCTCCCCAACACCCATTCTTATTGGTCTCCAGGGAAGTCTGAATACTAACAAAGGATTGAAGCCAGAGAAAAGGGATCCCCTCTTTCCATTGAAGGTAACAAATAAATATTCAAAATTTTAATTACATTTTTAAGTGTGTCCTAACTTGCAGATATCTCCAGCAATTGAATGACATTTTTTTTTGTTGCTTTTCTTTTCCTTAATTTTATTATTTTATTTTTTTTTATTGAAACAAAGTTGGTTGTATATATCTGTGGCGTACAGAGTTGAATATCAATACTCGTGTGCAATATGCAATATGTGATGCTCAAATCAGAATTATTATATTCAACAATATATACTGTCATCGCTGTTTGTTGCTTTTCAAACAATAGAATTCTTTTTTTAGTTCTACCCTCAGATTTTTATTTCATTTTCATAGAAATCTTGGATGATAAGTCACACATGCTTCTTTTTGTTCACTTCACTGTGTGTCACTCTCTTCCTCCTTTGTACTCTGCTGTAGAGATACATGAGATAATCACAAAGCAGAGGGCCAGGTTACAGATTCCTACCCCAGAAATTCATTGCTAAAATGGGATGTTGTCAAAACTGATATTATACTAGCTTGGAGTTTTTCACATCATTGCTCTCAAAGGGATTAGGGACAAAATCTCTCCCCCAACCCCCTTTAATACATTCCCATAAGTGCTTTAACATAACACAATAACATTGAGTTAACCTTCACAATAAATGAAGGCAATAAATAACACATTGAAAGGAACTAAGAATAACAGAGTTTAGAAAAAAAGAAATTAATCAACTTATAAAAGCTTATAAAAATCATCCTTCCTAAATTTTTCCATTATGCATCCTATCCAATTTTACTATATAAATTAAATGGTGACACATCAGAAAAATAAAAGTTATTTACTAGTTCTACAGAACACTTGCCTAATTGTATGGAATATAGCAGAGATAATGAGCTCATTGTGAACTGCAACAGCCATATAGCGTGGCTCATGAAATGCTGACGGGACTGTCCGCACTGCATAGCAGAGATAAACACCCCACAAGAGGAATAAAAATTCAGCTGTGAGAAGAACAAACAAACAATTTTCCATTAGTTTTACAAGTAAAGAAAAAATGAAATATAAGTTCTTTAGCATACATTTTGTGTCTATTATAGAAACATAAGTTCAGTAAGAAATAGATGCTTGGAAAGTGCCATTCACATATAAACATAGATGCCATATATTCATTTTCAAATTTTATTCAGTGTATACAAGATTTTTTAAAGGTACACTTTGTAGTTGTTAATAGCATTTGGAATATCAGAATTTTTTTGCTAATACCTGGCTTTTTCCTAAAGCTATTGTAAAATAACTTTCCACATCCCCAATCTAAGTTTGGATGCTCGTGGAGGATCTGGGTCACAATAAAGTTATCTAGGCAACAGAAGGCTTGTCACATGTTTGTATGCAGCTTCTAGAAATTTAAATTCTTATTGTATTGAACCCAGTTCAATAAGTAAAGATATTCATTGCCAGAAATATGAGAACATAGGTTGCTAAACATTTAGTGGCATATTTTATAAATGAAACACATGTTTCTTCACCCATGAGTTCAATAAGTAAAGATATTCATTGCCAGAAATATGAGAACATAGGTTGCTAAACATTTAGGGGCATATTTTATAAATGAAACACATGTTTCTTCACCCATGACAGAAATCTATCTTTTGTTGGTCGAGTGCTGAAAGGTTTAGTAAAATTCACAATCACCTTGCTTGATCACTGAAGTCAGAAGAGACAAGCAGAATGTACCAGCTGAGAATAAGGACTTCAGGATCATACTAGTCCGAATCCTAAACCTGGCTCTATCCCTAACTAACTTTGCATAATTTTAGGCAATTTTCTTAACCACTCTGGCCACAGTTTCTTCATCTGGAAAATGAGGATAAAAAAATACATATTTCATGGATTATTTGCTTATCAAATCGAGTAATGCATATAAAGCACTTAACATAGTTTCTGACACATAACAGTTGTTAAATAAATGGTTCTTATTACCACACTTCTCATTTGACTTTTTTGCAAACTGAGCATTGCTGTTTTAACTCATTTTGACCAATAATATTTACAACCTGTTCTATCTGTCATAGTGACATGACCTTATTGGAAGATAATATCTAATTAATAATAAGAAAGCTGTAATTTGTAGAAAACATTCTATCAAATGCATTTACCTAGATATAACCCTGCTGTATACTGAAACACTGATCTTCATTCAAAACACCAAGGTGTTTTACCTGCCTAAGTTTCAGCATATTTCTATCGGCATTTAAACCCTAGGTAGTGACCTAGGTATTGAAAGTCTCTTGAATAAACAAATTTGTCAGGACCTACTCTAGAACCCTGATGTAGCCAGTCTTGCTTCTGAGGCTTTGCCCAAGCTATTGCTCCCACTGGAAATCTCTTCTTACCCACATTTGCAAATCTGAGCCAAGTTTTCACTGTTCAAGTCCCACCTCCATCACAAAACCACCTGAAAAGATTGATTTTTCCTTCCTCTAATATCATAGAGTTTTTAATTATCTATTTAAATTATCTATTAGTAATTACAATATATAATTGGGAGAAAATTGTTCATGGGGTCTTTGTAGTCAACCATCACCACCACCCCAACGAGTTATGGGCAAGAATTGACTTTTTCAATTATTTTTTCTCCCATTGCTCACACAGGTGATAGCAACAGTCCTAAGCACACATAGATTTAAGAAATATTTGTTGAATTGAATGACTGTAAATGATATGTTTTATGTTTTAATCATTAGAGACTCTGACTTTTTGTTACCTTACCACACCATTCAACATCGCAGGACCTGTTAAAGCCAAATAAGTAAGAGGCCATTAGCCTCGTATTGTTTCCGTTCAAGTAACCTTTATGCAAGCGAACAGAAATTTAACTTAGAAGCACTCCTTGTAATTAACTAATTTTGAATCGAGTTTCAGCCAATCGTTGCTAAATGGCAGATTGGTTCTTTAATTTGGGACTGCCCATCAAACCATACCCCAATAAGGAAACACCTAGCTGTAGCCAATCAAGTAGTTTCTTTACTTTGCTTCCATCGCCTATAAAAGCTAGATGCTCAGGCTGCTGTGATGAAGCCTATAACCTTCTTTTGTTTTTGGTACTTCCTGATTCACAAAGCATTCTTTGCTCAAGTAAACTCTTAAATTTTATTTTCTCTCAAGTTTTCCTTTCAACAGGTCTGTAAGTGATCTAAGGATCATACTGGCATTACTATTAAGAGTGGCAACCTCTATTTACTGACATACCATTAAGTGTGTAGTAGTGCGTTTGGCACAAAAGAATGGTAAATGCAAAAATATTATTAAGCAATGCTAGCACAAAAAATATGCTGCAGTTGAAGTATTCAGATGTAGCTGCATTATAAAAATAGCATCTCCTGCCACTTATTGCGGTGTTTTAATATAGTGTTATTCTGAAGATTCAAAAAAAGGAAAGTGGTTATCAGGTTAATTGGTATGCTACAATGGAGAATTACATTTAAAAATATAAGACAAAATAAGATTTCTCAATAGCTAAGCTGAACATTAAAATCATTTCATTAGCAACATCAAACAATATGCTTCAGCTAAAAAACAATTATTCAAAGCGCCAATTAAAGTAAATGTGATATATAAAAGTTGTGCTTCAGAAAAAATTCCGTTTCATATAATTAACTTCAGACTAACACTGCAATTAGTAAAGAAAATATGCAGATGTTAGCAAATTTTGCAGTGTTATTATGTAGGAGTTGAAATATGTGTTGTGCTCTACTTTACAAAATAATTTCTGGCGTTAAATAATTTCAATGAGAGGCATGAGTGTAGTTAAAAAGGGAATTGCATTTATATTTAAAGATCCAAATAGGGCTTTCAGAAGACTGAAGTATTTTATGTTTAATCTATCAGGGATAACACTTGGTTTAAAAGTTAACTACCACAGCCTTTTAAAAATTAATATGCCATAATGAAAGAAATTTCAATTAATTTTTCCAAAGGGCTGGGACAAGCTAAGAAGTGAGAATTAATATCAGTCCTTTGACACTAAAGATGCCTTAGCTCTGTAATCTCGGACCACCCACAAGGGCTGAGAGGAGGGTAACTTCAAAGAGAAAATGTCGTTCAAACTGTGGTACCCTGCTTTGCCATGTTGCAAAGGCATTTTGTATTAATAACATTTTACACTTCTAAGCCTCATTAAAGAAGTATTTTTACACAGCATAAATACATAAATGATGAAACATTATGTTTTGTTTCCCAAGTGATTCTTTTAATGTCTTCTATTTTTTGCTAAGTCCTAGCCACTTAGGAAATAAATGGCCAAAGTAAAAACATTTACAAATCCATCCAGGATAACTCATTTTGTTCTTAGTCTAATAATATGGTGGGCAGCACAGAAGTTATCGTTAAGTATTAAATCAAACAACTTCATTAATGCTTGAGAATATCTCAAATACCAGAATTCTAGGGTTCAACTGCCACACAGAAGCTTTGATACTCTGGAGGCTTACCTGCATTTCCTTTGATTAAAATAAGAATAATTATGAGAGTTACACTGATTAAAACAATGAGAAGGATATTTCTGATAGAATTTTAGTTAGAAGTGACTTTATTAGATCATGTACATTTATTAGAGGGTACATTTTTGAGTGACTATGTGGCCAGGAAGAAAAGTAGTTATTATTCAGCTGGTCTTGAAGTCAGTTTATTCAGATTTGGATAGAGAAGCATGCAGAAGGTGAATGTGACACTATATGAGGGGACTTTAAAAAGTTTGTGGAAGGGGCTGGCCCGGTGGCGCACTGCTACAGTGCGCCGCTTGGGAAGCGCGGCGGTGCTCCCGCCGAGGGCTCGGGTCCCACGTTCATTGCCCCCCCCCCCC